GCCCTGCCTGCACCACCTGTTCCAGAGAATTACCCAAGATGACGTCATGACGACTCATGCTGCTTGTCCATCACACACACACACCTGTCCACCGCCAGTGACCACCCCATAGATGTGCTTCTTCGATATCACAAACAACAGAACAGTTAGAATGACTTTTATATGCTTCATTTATAAAACAAAGAAGTGGGGAACTGTAGGGATGACCTGAGCGTATGACCTTAATCCTTCATGACCCTTCTTTGCCCTCCACCCAAAATAGTGTATGACTGTATGTATGCTTTACGTATCAGCGTGCTGGAAACAGCACTTACCTCATTGCAAACACTGACAGCAATCATAGTTGTGAGTCTAGGGATCAAAGGGCAAAATTATTCTCTCATAAGATAAGGGTCCAGCTTTTACTTCCCCATTTCATGCTGGATTTACTGCTTCCATTTTTTTAAAGAAAATTTTCATTTTTGTGGATTTTTTTTTAATAGTGTCTCCTTGTATACCCAGCTGCCTGAAACTCACTATGTAGACCAGGCTGGCCTCAGTCTCACAGAGATCTGCCTGCCTCTGCATCCCAAGTACTGGGATTAAAGGTTTTTGCCACCATACCTGATGCATTTTTTTCATGTTTTACTTATTTTTAAGTGTATGATTGTTTTGTCTGAATGTATGTTTGTGTACCACATGCATGCAGTGCCCTTGAAGGCCAGAAGAGGATATCAGATCCTTTGGAAAACTAAGCAAAGGATGACAGTGAGATGGCATGTGGGTGCTAGGAACCAGACCCAGGTCCTCTGTAAGAACAGACACTCCTTGTCCTAGTTTGTTCTTCATTGCTGTGACAGAATACTATGACCACTACCAACTTGGGGAGGAAATGGTTTATTTAGCTTACATATCCTGGGTCACAGTTCATCCAGGAGCCCAAGGTAGGAACTCAGGGCAGGAACCTGGAGGCAGGAGCTGGAGCACAGGCCATGGAGGAATGCTGCTTACTGGCTTGCTCCCCTGGCCCCTGCTCAGCTTGCTCTCTTATCCACCAACACAGGACAACCTGCCCAGGGGTGGCACCACCCACAGTGGGCTGGGCCCTCCCACATCACTCAACAATCAAGAAGGTGCCCCACAAACATGGCCACAGGCCAGTCCAATGGGGGAAATTCCCCAGTTGAGGCTCCATCAACCCAGGTGTGTCAAGTTGACACTAAAGCTATCCAGCACACTGCTCGACTGCTGAGCCATCTCTCCAGCCCCCTGGGAATATACTATTTCAACAAAGAATGAGGGAAGCCCTTGCTCAATAGCACAGTATGAAAGCATCTGAAGGAACGGGT